GGGGTAAAATCCTAACAGGTGGCTGATATGGTTTGGCTCTGTGTCTCATCTCAAATTGTAATCCCCAGGTGTCAAGGGAGGAAGGTGAGTGGATCATGGGGGCGATTTCCCCCATGCTGTTCTTGTGATAGTGAGTTCTCACAAGATCTGACGGTTTGATAAGGGGCTCTTCCTACTTCGCTCTTTCATTTCTCTCCTGCCACCTTGTGAAGAAGGTCCCTGCTTCCCCTTCGCCTTCCACCATGATCGTAAGTTTCCTGAGGCCTGCCAGTCATGTGGAACTGTAGGTCAATCGAATCTCTTTTCTTTATAAATTATCCAGTCTCGGGTATTTCTTTATAGCAGTGTGAAAATGGAATAATACAGTGGTCTTCGAAACTAAAGGAAAAGTCATCAAGAAAGTGTTGCTTTGGGAGTCAGAAGACCTGCCTCAAATCAGTTCAACTGTAAAATTCTTTACACAGCCTTTGAAGAGAAACCTAAGCAAGTCCCTGAATCCTCAAGCGTTCCAGGAAAATGAAAAGACTTGCAAAGGCTAAAGAATTGTTAGAATCGGTGCAGTCAGCATGTTGACCAAAGCATTCCTACGTGCCAGGAAAATGGTGTGTTGGAATGTTTTTGCTTCTCATGAGAAAAGCAATTTAAGTCGCAAGGCAAGGGCAACATTTTGAAGATGGCTATGTGGACTCTGGATCCTTCTCTTTTTGTTCATGATTTGTTCTCTCTTTAGTGTTCCTGCTTCCGGCCAAGCATGTGGTACCCTTGGGGTGGCGTGCCACTTTTTCCACTGAGTCTTGGGCAGGTTGCTTCTCTCCTTATCCAATAACATCTACTCAAAGATGGTTGTAAGGATTAAATGAAAGAACAAATTGCAGCATCCAACACATTGCCACCCTACTCTCCCCTTCCCTTCTAACAGTCTCCACCCAAACTGTTCTGGTTTCGGATTTGTCCTCTCAAACAAAACCCAAAGGATTGGCTAGTGGAACTACGCCGTAACCTGGCTTGATTGATAGTAAGAGCCATCCTTACCATCACGGTAAGAGCCATCCTTCTAAGGACCTTTGCATTAGAAGCACGATGCCGCCATCTCCTTGACCTGAAAGGTTCAAACAAAACCAGAACAACTTCTCATACAACTCTGTGTTCATCTGCTGTTCTGTTAACTTGGAATGTGGAATTCTCCTGTGTTGACATTAGATACTACATTGCAAAGTCCTCTATTGTGTGCCTCCCCAGTGGAGTGTAAGCTTGTTGAAAGAAGAACCTATGACTTACTCACCACTGTACTTCTGGTGCCTGAAACAGTACCTGGCTCAAAGGAAGCACTCAATTCATAACTGTTTGATGAACGGCTGAATGAAAACGGCTCATATCCATTAGGCAGTTTCTATGGCCGAGACACTGTTCTAAGCACTTTACATTTATTATGCCCACTCAGTTGTTGCAAGAAGCCCAAGTTACTATCACTGGCCCCATTCTGTAGATACATTAGGTAACTTGCTTAGGTTCTCACCTGTAAGGGGCAGAACTGGATCTTGCTAATACAGTCTGGTTCTATATAGCCCAGGCTGGAACAACAGCATCAGCAGCAGCCCCTGGGAACTTGTTAGAAATCCTAATTATTCTTCCCTCCACCTCAAACCCAGGAAATCTTAAACCTTACAGGTGGGGCCCAGCCGTCTGTGCTGTAACAAGCCCTTGAGGGGATTCTGAAGCGCTCGGGTTTGAGAGCCATATCACTACATTATCCTGCTTCTCTGTCCTCAAACATTCCAGGACTTTGATTTCCTATTTATTTACCTATTTGAGACAGTGGTCTCACTCTGTCATCCAGGCTCACCCAGGCTGGAGTGCAGTGACAACACTTCGACTCACTGCCAACCTCCACCTCCAGGGCTCAAGTGGTCCTCTCACCTCAGCCTCCCTAGTAGCTGGGACTGCAGACACATGCCACAATGCCTGGCTAGTTTTTGTATTTTTGTAGAGACAGGGTTTTGCTATGCTGCCCAGGCTGGTCTTGAACACCTGGGCTCAAGCAATCTACCCACCTTGACCTCCCAAAGTGGCTCATGATGGGATTACAAGCATGAACCACTGTGCCTGGCCCCAGGACTTCACTTTCTAAGAAAAGCAATGGATGCTGTCTAAAAACAAAATTTTATCAAATTGAATTTAATGATCTCATTGTCTTTTATTTTCAATTCATGAATTGGGCAGCATCCGATCTATAAAATAGAAAGGTACTCCAGCGAGCTGAGCAGAGGGATGGGTTTTGTATGCAGAAGAACTAAAAAAGGCAGAAACACAGACCAAAAAGTGCACTGATCATTTCAAAGCTCCTTTCCTTATAAGATTAAAGTAGAGGAGATATTCTTATTTCACTTGTTCGGCTTGACTGGGCCCTTTTGGATTGGTTGCTGTAAATCTCCTGGTTTTTTAAAAAAAATTGGCCTTTTTTTATTTCTGAGATGGAGTCTCACTTTGTCATCCAGGCTGGAGTGCAGCGGTATGATCTCGGCTCACTGCAGCCTCTACCTCCTGGGTTCAAGCGATTCTCTTGCCTCAGCCTCCCTAGTAGCTGGGATTACAGGAGCCTGCCACCTTGCCCAGCTAATTTTTGTATTTTTAGTAGAGACAATGTTTCACCATGTTGGCCAGACTGGTCTCGAACTCCTGACCTCAAGTGGTCCACCTGCCTCGGCCTCCCAAAGTGCTGGATTATAGGCATAAGCCACCACACCTGGTCAAAAACTGGCCCATTTTAAAGTTCCATTTGATTGCATGACAGTTAGCATAGGTATCTCCATTCTAGTTTGGTCTGGTCTATCAAGGGCTAGTGCAGGAACTTAGTCCAAACAATGCCTCTCATAAGTTTTATTTAATTTTTAATTTTTATTTTCGGAAAACACGTCAGGTTCATACCATAAATTTTGTTTAACTGTACTCACGTGTATATTCTCAAAGTTGTTCTAGTATTATTATGATTAAATTTTTTTTTTTTTTTTGTAGAGATGGAGTCTCACTGCGTTGCCAGAGCTGCTCTCGAACACGGGTCCTAAAAGGATCCTCTGGATTTGGCCTCCCAAAGTGCTGGGATTAAAGGCATGAGCCATAGCACCTAGCCAAATTTTCCTACTAAATGTCATTTGTGTATGTGGTTTTGCTTATTCCTGTTTCTGCTATTAATTAAAGGAATAGCCCTTTGGGCAAGTTACTTATCTTTGGACCTCAGTATTCACATCTGTAAAATGGGCAGGGGTGGGGACTGGACTAGATCAGTGACATTTAGCCCTGGCTGACACTAAAAGCACCTGGAGAACTTTAAAAAAATTCCATTATCAGAAGTCCAGCAAGACCAATTAAATCCAGCCTCTAGGAGTGGGACCCTCCACTGGCATTTTATTTATTTATTTATTTTAGAGATGAAGTCTCGCTCTGTTGCTCAGGCTGCAGTACAATGGTGTGATCTTGGCTCACTGCAACCTCCCAGGTTTCAGTAATTCTCCTGCCTTAGCCTCCCGAGTAGCTGGGATTACAGGTGTTTGCCACCACGTCTGGCTAATTTTTTTGTATTTTTAGTAGAGATGGTGCTTCACCATGTTGGCCAGGCTGGTCTTGAACTCCTGACCTCAGGTGATCTGCCCACCTCGGCCTCCCAAAGTGCTGGGACTACAGGTGTGAACCATCACACCCAGCCTCCATTGGCATTTTAAAGAGGCTTCTTAGGTTATTATAATATTCAGCCAAAGTTGAACTACTGTGCTAAATAAAGCCAATCACAGCCATCCTGGACCTCTTGCTCGTGACTGGCTTAAGAGTTGTGCATGTGACCCAGTTCTGCCCAATTTTGATGTAAGAGGAAATGATAGGAGGGGCTTCTGGGAAGCTTTTTCTCATTGCTTTGCTGATTCTTGCACTAGGTGGCCTTTACTTTCTAAGTACCAAAATGCTTTCGCTGTAAAAAGAAAAAGAGAGAAGACTGGAGTTGCAAACTCACATGTCTCTAAGTAGCCTGGAAGTTAATCTATAAAGGAAGAGGGGTGGGCGGAAACTATGCTGTACCTCAAGGGGGCTGAAGTTTTACATATAAGATTTAAGCAGAAGGGGAATGTAATAATGAAATATTGGTTACTCATATAATCACTGTTTCTTTTTTTGAGATGGAGTCTTGCTCTGTCACCCAGGCTGGAGTACAGTGGCACGATCTCGGCTCACTGCAACCTCCGCCTCCCAGGTTCAAGCAATTCTCCTGCCTCAGCCTCCTGAGTAGCTGGGATTACAGACACCTGCCACCATGCCCAGCTAATTTTTTTTGTATTTTTAGTAGAGACAGCGTTTTGCCATGTTGGCCACGCTCATCTTGAACTCCTGACCTCGGACGATCCGCCCAGCTCAGCCTCCCAAAATGCTTGGAATTACAGGCGTGAGCCACCGCACCCGGCCATAGAATCACTATTATACGAAGCTGGAGAACTGAGCTTGGAAAATGGGGCAGACAGGCTATACAACTGAAATCATGTTCAAAATTACTCCACCAAATCAAACCAGTGAAGAAACTGTTGCTGCTCCCAACCATGGGATGCTGCTGCCCCTAATGCCCTCGCTGTTCCTAGAAACTGGATTTTGCTTTCACCATCCACGGCTAGAAATAATTCACCAATTCTTTCCTGTCCTGGATTCTTCCTAAAATTAGCACCCCATTTATAAGCCTGGGAGACACGCTTAATTGGCCAAGCCTGGTGCATGCTGGTAAGTATCGGTTATATTGCTCAAACAGTGGGAAATGACATCTGCCTCCCACCAAGACTTATGAACTGGGGACATCCATGAATAAAGGAGAGGGGTCCAAAAGCGGGTGGCAGAAGGTCTCACAAATGTTTATCACACCAGTATTCTGCCACGAGGGACAATAGTCAAATGTTGCCAGTTCTTCTGATTTTTCAAACAAAACCAAAAATTTGGATTTTTTTTTCCTCCAAGAAAATATTTAGTGCATATTATCAGTGATTATGTTTTACAAAAAATTTAAATACATGCACTTTTCACAAACATAAAATGGGAATCAAGACATCTATCAAATTCAAATGTTAAACCAAGTCCTGATTTTTGGAATTCAGCAGCCAATTATGGTTCTGTTCCACGGCCACTATTCCATGATTTCCAATAGCTGTGGATCTTTTCCGTAATTGGAACAAAATTTTCTTTATATGTGACAATTGTTTCCACATAAAATCCTTTTGGGGCTTCAGATGGTTCACTGAGCATTTCACTTGTTGAGCCATGCTTTTGGTCTACTTCATCACCTGACGACTTCATCATTTTCTGGCCTACGTAAACCAGTGAGCCCAACAGAGACCAGGCGCCAAGCCCGTAGATGACTGACATCCGCCGGTACCAGGCCGTGAACGGGTTCCAAGGCATGGGGACGCTGGCGAGGGACTCAGTTCTCGCACGCTCTCAATTCCAAAAATTTGAATTTTATCTTTTTTTTTTTTTTTTTTTTTTTTTTTTTTGAGACAGGTTCATGCCCAACTGCCCAGGCTGGTCTTGAACTCCTGGGCTCAAGCAGTCCTCCTGCCTCGGAATCCCAAAGTGCTAGGATTACAGGCATGAGCCACCTCACTCAGCCTGTTTATTATTTTAAAGACAGAGTCTCACTCTGTGGTCCAGGCTTGAGTGGAGTGATGGAATCCTAGCTCACTGAATCCTTGAACTCCTGGGTTCAAGCAATCCTCCCCCATCAGTCTTCTGAGTGGCTGGGACTATAGGCATGCACCGTCACACCCTGCTAATTAAAAACATTTTTTTGGTAGAGGTAGGGGTCTTGCTATGTTGTCCAGGCTGGTCTTGAACTCCTGAGCCCAAGTAATCCTCCGGCTTTAGCCTCTCAAAGCATTGTGATTACAGGTGTCAGCCATGGTGCCTGGGTGAAATTTGGATTTTATATGAAATCTCTGGGCCGGGCGCGGTGGCTCAAGCCTGTAATCCCAGCACTTTGGGAGGCCGAGGCGGGTGGATCACGAGGTCAAGAGATCGAGACCATCCTGGTCAACATGGTGAAACCCCGTCTCTACTAAAAAATACAAAAAATCAGCTGGGCATGGTGGCGCTTGCCTGTAATCCCATCTACTCAGGAGGCTGAGGCAGGAGAATTGCCTGAACTCAGGAGGCGGAGGTTGCGGTGAGCCGAGATCGCGCCATTGCTCTCCAGCCTGGGTAACAAGAGCAAAACTCTGTCTCCAAAAAAAAAAAAAAAAAAATCTCTGTATATTAAATGTTGGTGGGAGAGAGATCGAAGATGGCTGATCACTAGCAGCTCGGGATTGTAGCTCCCACTGAAAGCGCAGAGAACGAGAGGACGCCGCGCTTTCAGATCAATTTTTGTTGCTCACGCACCAGGAGATTCCCAGCGGAGGAGCCCCACGTGTCACCAGCGCAACTCTTGAGGCCGGTGAGGCGGTTTTGCTGCTGCCTTGGTGCGGCGGTTCTCGGTGCAGAGTCAGAAAAGCACCATCAATCTTAACACCGCTGTTTTGGCCGGCGCAGTGGGTTGCTCAGATTCTAGCGCCGGGAATCAACAAGTTGGACGTCCATTCAGAAACCCAACTATAAAGACGGTAATTATAAAGACCACAGATGGATAAATCTATAAAGAAGGGAAGAAACCAGCCTAAAAAGGCTGAGAATACCCAAAATCAGAACGCTTCTCCCTCTGCAGGGGATCACAGTTCCCCATCAGCAACGGAACAAGGCCTGATGGAGAAAGACTGTGTTCCATTAGCAGAAGCTGACTTTAAGACGTGGATGATATGAAACTTCTGGGAATTAAAAGAACTTGTTCTAACCCAATGCAAAGAAACTAAGAACTTTGAAAAAAGGTTTGATGAAATGTTAACAATAACACACAATTTAGAGAGGAATATAAGTGAATTAATGGAGCTGAAAAATACAACACGAGAACTTCGCGAACTATGCACAAGTTTTAACAGCCAAATTGATCAAGCAGAAGAAAAGATATCAGAGGTCGAAGACCAACTTAATGAAATAACACAAAAAGACAAGATTAGAGAAAAAAGGATAAAAAAGAACGAGCAAAGTCTCCAAGAAATATGGGACTATGTGAAAAGACCTAATCTACGTTTGATAGGTGTACCTGAATGTGACGAAGAGAATCAATCCAAACTGGAAAATACGCTTCAGGATATTATTCAGGAAAACTTTCCCAACCTAGCAAGGCAGGACAATATTCAACTCCAGGCAATACAGAGAACACCACAAAGATATTCCTCAAGAAGACCAACCTCAAGGCACATAATCGCCAGATTCACCAGCGTTGAAATGAAAGAGAAAATACTGAGGGCAGCCAGAGAGAAAGGTCAGGTTACCCATAAAGGGAAGCCTATCAGACTCACAGCAGATCTCTCAGCAGAAACCCTACAAGTCAGAAGAGAGTGGGGGCCAATATTCAACATCCTTAAAGAAAAGAACTTTCAACCCAGAATTTTACATCCAGCCAAACTAAGCTTCATAAAAGAAGGAAAAAATAAAATCTTTTGTGAACAAGCAAGGACTCAGAGATTTCATCACCACCAGGCCTGCTTTATAAGAGCTTCTGAAAGAACCACTACAAATAGAAAGGAACAACCAGTATCAGCCTTTCTGAAAAATACCAAAAAATAAAGAACATCAACATAATTAAGAAATTGCATCAACTAATGGGCAAAACAGCCAGCTAACATTAAATGGCAGTATCAAACTCACATATATTGTTATTAATTCTAAATTTAAATCGACTAAATCCCCCAATCTAAAGACACAGACAGGCAAAAAAAGCCAAGACCCATTGGTATGCTACATCCAGGCCCATCTCACATGCAAGGATACACAAAGACTCAAAACAAAGGGATGGAGAAAAATTTACCAACCAAATGGAGAGCAAAAATAAATAAATAGAAAGCAGGAGTTGCAATTTTTGCTAATAAAATAGACTTCAAAGCAACAAAGATAAAAAAAGAAGCAAAGAAGGATATTACATAATGATAAAAGGATCAATGTAACAAGAAGAGCTAAAGATCCTAAATATATACGCACCCAATACAGGAATACCCAGATATATATGACTTATAAAGAGACTTGGACTCCCACACAATAATAGTGGGAGACTTCAACATCAATATTAGACAGATCAATGAGACAGAAAGTTAACATCGATATCCAGGACTTGAACTCAGATCCGGAACAAGTAGACTTAATTAACATTTATAGAACTCTCCACTTTAAATACACAAAATATACACTCTTATCAGTACCACATCACACCTATTTATAGGTTTAAATGAAATATTGGTTGGCTGCTTGTTAATTATTTTCTTCCCTCATTTTTTTTTTATGTCTCTATTATTAAACACAATTACAGGCATACCCATTTTTAGACTGCATTCTAGCCCGGGCAATAAAGCAACACCCCTGTTCTTGCTCCCTCTTCCTCTTCCTCTTTCTTCCTTTCCTTCATTTTATTCTTTCTCTTTCTTTCTTTCTCTTTCTTCCTCTTAAAAAAAAATTGGCATAACCCTCTAGGAAGCTTGTGTGGAAGTAAGCACAGAGAAGCAGAACCCTACTTGTTTAATCCACTAAACATTACTTCTGGGAATTTGTTCATTGCAAAAAAAAATAATAAAAATAAAAATGTTGGTAACTAATTAAACTGCTAGCCAGGCAAAAACACTATACAGATCATTTTGTGACTTCCAGTGTGTCAAGGACAGGTGATCAGGCAAAGATGTAGTCATTTCTTCTTGTGTTCCCATTCTGCCTGTGGTTTAGTCCTTCTGGTAAATTACTGGCAAGCAAAGGTGATATCTCTGTGTGAATTGTGATGTTGATGAGCACAGGTTCAAGCTCTTCTTATGTAATGGCCATCATATTTGGAAACAGTTTAATAAAACATCAAGGCCTGGAGATGGCAGGATCATACATTACAAGCAAAATTACCAACACAAGGCATTTGCTCTTAAAGTTGGATTAGAAAAAGGGAGCCCTGGATTTTACTACTCTCAGTTTTGGAACAAACTTGGGTCTGGACATAGCGCTTACTGCTTTTGTTTATTTTTAAGACGTCTTATGAGAGAATGGGATTCAAGGCTATCTTTGGAAGATGCTGGCAGAAGAAAATCAAACTGGGTCTTTCTCCTGAACGTGTTTATACTGGTGAAATCATGTTTAAATAAAGAGGGAGGACTTGACGGAGAAAAACATCTCATAGGGCAATTTGAAGAGTGTGTATAAAGGGAAAATCCTAGACTGACTGGTGAGGACTTAAAGTCCTAAGGTCCTCCTTCCCCCAACTACTTTCTCTTGTCAGAAACCCCCAAATCCCCCATGTTAGATTTGGGGACTTCATTCATGATCCTCTAATTTGTGTTGATCAAATAACTAATAGATTGGTTATTTATTACATCCTGAATCTGATTCTGATTTTCAGCTTGGAAGGGTAAACTCATATGAATTTGCTCCATATACTGTCATTATTTTTCTAAGTTAAATATATCCAGCTTAGTGTCCTTCACTGTTGCTCTCTCAAGCTGAAGTAGTTTGGAAATTCATTCTGTTGGGAATCGAGGGTTGGGTTTCTTCCCTTCTCTGGGGCCATTCAAGATGCCTAGGAGGCTGTGGAAATAGGCTAGAAAATTTGGAGAAAGGATTTTGGTCTTCAATTCTTTTATTATCATTATTATTTTTAAATTTTAGCGACAGCATCTCACTCTGTTACCCAGGATAGAATGCAATGGTGCAATCATGGCTCACTGCTGCTTCAACCTCCTGGGCTCAAGTGATCCTCCTGCCTCAGCCTCTGGTGTAGCTGAGACTACAGGCATGTGCCACCACACCTGGCTAAATTTTAAATTTTTGTAGAGATGGGATCTCACTATGTTGCCAAGGCTGCTCAAGCGATCCCCTCACCTTGGCCTCCCAAAGTGCTGGGATGACAGGTGTGTGAGCTATTGTGCCCAGCTGTCTTCAATGTATTTATTTATTTTGATTCAGGGTCTCACTCTGTCGCTCAGGCTGGAGTGCAGTGGCCTGATCACGGCTCCTTGTGATCAGGGACCTCCTTGGGGCCAGGTGATCCTCCCGAGTAGCTGGGATTACAGGCATGTGTCACCATGCCTGGCTAATTTTTCAAATTTTTTGTAGAGATGGGGTCTCACCATGTTGCCCAGGCTGGTCTTGAACTCTGGGCTCAAGCAATCCTCCCACCTTGGCCTCTCAAAGTGCTGGGATCACAGGTATGAGCCGCTGGGCCTGGCCGGTCTTCAATTTTTTATATCTTCTGTTATAATAGGTGCTCTTTGTGCAGGATCCCTTTAGATCAGCAGCTCTGTTGCTAATAGTGTTGGTTTTCTCAGTGTACAACTTAGCCACCTAGAACGTTTGTCATTGCGCCCAATGCCACAGAGTT